CATTCCGACATTGATTCTATGTTCAAATACTGTACCTAAGGGAGTTTGTGGATATGATTCTGACAGAGTTCTTTGCTTAAGTAACATGTGCACTGGTGCGTCCTTCGGGGACCGAAGCTGGTCAACCCGAGGCTATCGCTACTGGTCCCGGCCAACCTCTAAGATCGTCATTGCGCTACCCACAGGCTGGATAGCCCGGGTGATGTTCAATTTTGAATCTGCGGCCTGCACCAGTTCCTCCCACTCGTCCATCCCACGCTCATGGCTGTTGAACGTCTGCATCATCGTCATATCCCGCACTCGCAGCAGCGCCTCCTCGCTAACCGGTACACTCCCGGGATTCGGAAGGATGGTGTCCATCACAATAATGCGAGCGCCAGGCCGAAGGGCAGCAGCCAGGTGAGACAGGATTTTTTGTGCTTCTTCGCGCGGCCAGTCGTGTAGGATCATACGGAGCAGATACACATCTGCGTCGCGCACGGGCTGCGGGGTGAAGAAATCGTGGCTCTGAAATGTAATTCGCGAGCGCATGGCATCAGGGACCTGCGGTTGAGAAGTTTCAATGACCAGGGGAAGGTCTTGGACGATGAATCTTAGCTGCGGGTAGGTTTCAGCCAGAGCAATGCTGGCGTGGCCGCTGGAGCCACCAACCTATTGTGAGTCAAATCAGCAAAATGGGAAGCTTGAGCAGGACATGAAATATTAGCGTACATCCACTACAGTAGCATTACCCAAACTTGCCCAGTCGTATCCCTGAACCAAGTGCTTGATGTTCGTAGCCTCGCCCTTGGCCACGTTCTTCATGTACCCAGAAAACCGCTGGGTAAACTCGGGAGAGCTCGACAGGTAGTCGAAAAATGACAAGTCCGTATGGAGGGACAGATTGAATGCAGTCTCTGTCTTCTTAGTTGTCTCGCCCCATCGCTGCGTCGCCTCGACCAGCTTGGGCGCCATCGGTGCCGAATCCTCAGCCAAGAACAGCGCCCAGTCGCACAGGGACGGGTTCGATACGAAACACGCGGATGTCTTGTTGTGCGCAACCTGGTTCAAGACCGGCTCTTGAAGGAAACTCCCCGTGATAGCCATGCGGGTGATGCTCTTGAGCTGGTGGAGTGGTACGTGGGCCGCGGCCGCGAGATCGGGGTACGAGATGGTGCCCTCATGCGGCACGAGAGAGGGGATTTTGAAGTGACAGAGCCATTGAATTGCGGCAAGATGCTGAGGCTATTTACCTTCAGCATTCCATTTGTCATTGGACCTTGTTGTACACTCACGTAGACTGCTAATCGTGCTAGGTACTGGTTGGGCTCGATGATGAGCTGCTGGAGTCGATAGGTACTCTCGAGAATGGCCTGTCGAGCCTCTTGAACCTCAGCAGGTGCAGATGAGGGTAATGTGTCGAGGCCATTGAGTTGGATATCATCGAAGGAAGGATGTGGATGGCCCGTGGAAGCACAGAAGGCTGTGATGACTTTGGCCGCCGCACTGATCCGGTCAGCAAAGACCTCCAGGGCAGGGGCTTGGGGTGTCTTCGTCATGGTTGAGATTTCAGTCGTATCACTCTAGATGTATCCTGGCTTATGGCTTACATGGCCTAGCTGAGTCTATTATTAAATGCAGAAACTGAAAACTGCCGCAGCGATTGTCCCTCGGCTACGACATCCGAAAGGGCGCTTCGGTCCCCGAAGATACGATGTAAGAGGTTCATTTCAATCCAATCACAGTGAGAGTATCCAGATAATCTTACAATTAAATAAGTTCAGGTATATTGACAAGTGACTTTTTCTGGTTCATCTCCTGCAGACGCGAGCCCGAGCAGTTCATGCCTGGTTCTCCCACTGTGCTTCTTGTGGTGCTGACCACATCCGACCTTGCTCCCCAACTCTTTCTTCCCTTTTGGTATTTCTACTATTCGACATGGAGCGTCGTTTCACAATACTGTTCCTGTTCTTGAGCCATGTGCTCACTGCATTTGCCGCGCACGTCAAACGCGAACTTACTCTGACCTGGGAAGAAGGTGCTCCCAATGGCCAAAGTCGCGATATGATCAGGACAAATGGCCAGTTTCCGTCTCCTACTTTGATTTTCGATGAGGGCGACGATGTGGAAGTACGGTCTTTATCACTTCAGAATACTTCGGGACTATGAAGGCTTATAGTCCTCCAGATCGTCGTCCACAATCATATGCACCAGAATACCACCATCCATTGGCATGGAATTCTGTAAGCCTAGGCTGTCCTTGGTTACTCTACAAGGCATTATGAGGTCTGATGACGACTTGACAGGATGCAAGATACCCCGTGGTCCGATGGCGTTCCCGGCCTGAGTCAAACGCCTATTGAGCCCGGCGAGAGTTATGTCTATCGCTTCACTGCATATCCTCCCGGTCAATACTGGTCTGTACTAAGTGCTTTCCTAAACGCAAACTTGCGACTGATCAATCCAGGTACCATTCTCATTCGCGAGCCACCTTGTTGGATGGTCTCTACGGGGCGCTCTTTATTCGGTGATCCGCATGTGCTTATTGCTCTGCAATAATCAATACTAACGCATTCTAGACGGAAGCCAGGAACTCCAGGACCGTGGGCAATGATCAGCGAAGATCCAGTTGAGATCCAAGCCATGGAACGCGCTGCCAGTGATCCTCGGATTATTATGCTCTCAGACTGGGATTACTACAACTCATCCCAATACAAAGAGGCTGACGCAAACAGCCATCTCCAGATATTGTACGGGCAGGATTCTATTCCCCAACTTCACATACTGACTGTCCTAGCTGTGTCGATAGTATTTTGATCAACGGAAAGGGGAGCGTGTATTGCCCTGATCACCAGTGGCTCATTGACAAGCAAATCCCGTTTATGCTCAGAAGCTGGCCAAATGATACCATCACCGACAAAGGGTATGTCCATGTTTCGTCTCTTCCAGATTGAGAAGAGCAATATTGACAACTACAGTTGTTTCCCATTCGTTCCTTCCACCGAAGGCCCGTGGCTTAAGGACGGCAACGTCTCCGCCATTCCTCCAGGATTACAAGAGGGCTGCGTTCCCTACACCGGTCCCACGGAGATCATCGAGGTTGACGCCCGCGATCGATGGGTCAGTATCAACTGGGTTGGAGGCTCGACGTTTAAAACCTTGCAGCCCACGATCGACGAGCACGAGATGTGGATCTACGAGGTTGACGGCCATTACATCGAACCACGCCGTGCAGACACCTTCCTGATCTGGGCCGGGGAGCGATACTCGGCTCTGGTCCGGCTCGACAAGAAACCAATGGACTACTCCATCCGCGTGCCTGACGGTGGCTACTCGCAGATGATCGCAGCCTTTGGTATCTTACGGTACAAGAACGGCGACCCGGACGCTCGCCGGCCAGCCGATCGGTTCGGCGTCACGACAATCTCGCAGCCCTATTTCGACTACAACGCCTGGCCGACACGCGACGGGATCGTCTTTCTGGACAAACTCGATCTGCCACCCTGGCCGCCCAAGGCTCCCTTCACCGGCGATGGCGACGCAATGCACGTCCTGTATCTAGGTAAAGCCAACACGACCTGGGAATTCACTTTAAGTGGCAAGAAGAAGTACCCCTCGGACCGATCGGCGTACCATCCTCTGTTGTACAACGTCAACTCTCCCGAAGCTCGAGACGATGATCTGATCATTCGCACCCAGAATGGGACCTGGCAGGATATCGTCCTCCAGGTGGGTCACTCGCCCCTCTGGCCGGTTGACTTCCCGCACGTCGTGCACAAGCACGCCAACAAGTTCTGGCGACTGGGTTCTGGTCAGGGAATCTGGAACTACTCCTCCGTCGCCGAGGCCGTCGCCGATCATCCAGAGAACTTCAATCTGATCAACCCCCCCTACCGTGACACCTTCCTGACAGAGTTTACAGGAACGATGTGGGTGGTCCTGCGTTACCAGGTGACTTGTCCGGGAGCGTGGTTGCTGCACTGTCACTTTGAGATGCATCTCGACAACGGCATGGCCATGGCCATTCTGGATGGTGTGGACAAGTGGCCCGAAGTGCCGGATGAGTATGCCCTGGGTTCCCATGGATTCCTCGTGGAGGACAAGAATGAGCTGCAGAGCACTTTCTTCCAGCATGTCATTGACCGGCTAGTCAGCCAGGTGTCTGCGTGGCTGTTGGGGGCTGCAACCATAGCATTCTGTATAGCGGCTTGGGCTGTTGTCCGACTCATAAGATGGAGAAAGGAGAGGCAACCGATGACGATCAACTATAGTTCATTAGCATCTGGACCCATGGTTAGTCAAGATGATAAGGACGGTCTGTTGTCATTTATCAGCCATCCTTAGCCTAGGTTGCATATCCATAGTCATAGTGGTATACAGTTGTCACATTGTTTATATTAATGACAGTCCCATACACCAGATCATCCTTGTCTTTGGTTTTTGATCCCATAATAGATTATGAGAACCAACCTACTATTATAAATTCATGGTATCTCTGTTTGAATCCAAATGTGTTTTGCATATCCACCACCGTCGTCCAATTGATTCAAGGTCATTGATGAGAAAGCTTATTAATCTTCAGCAGACGATATATGTATTTCCTGCAGAGACCTCAATGAAGCACACCGCCAGTTTTTTGGCAGCACTGTCAATTGAATAGTCCCACCTTTAGTCTCTCTCTCTCCTTTCCAATACGTGAAATCAACATTTATGTTCATAGTGCCATAGAATTCCGCGTCCCTGGCCTGACTGGATTTCCAAATGTCATCATCTAAGGCAGCTACGTCCAACATCCTAGGAACTAGTGGGGACCAAATACCCCTCTCCTCCATTCCACCATTACCAAATACAGACATCCGCAAGTCTATTCTTCCTTGCCAAAACACATCTACTACAGAGCCTCAGCCTGAGGGTTCTCCATTCAATCCCATTAGCCAAGCTATAAGCAATCCACCTGGTGGCAGTTGGCGAAATAAAATCCGGCTGAGTGGTGCCCTGTTCTCACTCCTTGTTCGTCATGCATGACAGAAAATGTCAATTCTGGTACCGAATCTAGTATTCAGCTCTGTCTCTTCCTCGCTGCACTAGACTTTACCATTGCTACCACTACAATCCCAACAATTGTGTCTTCGTTCCACTCTGGACGAAGCTATGTCTGGATCGGCTCGGCGTACCAGCTCGCCAGCGCCGCGTCGACGCCCATCTGGGGGAAGCTGTCGGATATATGGGGACGTAAATCCATTTTACTCCTGGCCATTCTTATATTTGCAGCTGGATCGATTATCTGTGCGGCTGCGACAATGATGGGGATGATGCTAACAGGCCGATCTATTCAAGGTGCTGCGGCTGGTGGAATAGTGATTTTGGTGAATATCTGCATCAGTGACTTGTTTACTGAGAGGTTTGTTTCTGCTTGCCACAAGATTCATGACCCTTGTGAGATTAGCTGGGGCTGATTGTGACTTATTGAATGATAGAGAAAGAGGATTCTACCATGGGCTGACTGGCGTCGTATGGGGACTTGCTAGTGGCGTTGGCCGTCTGGCTGGGGGTGCCTTTTCCGAGCACGTTTCCTGGCGCTGGAACTGGTGGATCAACCTTCCTTGTTGTGGAGTCTCGTTTGTTGTTCTGTTCTTCTGTCTCGACCGCGTTCGTGAGAGACAAGCGGGAATCAGCAGCGGCTTGCGACAAATCGACTGGCTTGGGACTCTGGCCATCACGGGTTTGACTACCATGCCGCTTCTAGGTCTAAATATCGGTGGTGTCTATAGCACATGGAGATCCGCGAAGGTGATCTGTCTTCTCGTGTTCGGAGGCTTCACACTGGCGGCTTTCGTGGTCTATGAAGCGAAAATTATATCCGAGCAGAAAGCATTGATACCGATGCGCATTCTACGACGTTTCTCCAACAATGCGTCATTGTTTGTCTGCTTCATGCACGGATTTGTAAGGACAGACCTAGAACATACACGTCGCCCATAGAGACCGAACTCTCTACTCTTGACTCGACTTACTGACACTTGCCTATCTTGAATGGCCTAGGTCAATGTTTCATCCTGGTACTTTCTTCCACTATACTTTCAATCCAGCCGCTCCCTGACCCCTCTTCAATCCGGCCTTCTACTTATGCCAATGACTGTCATCCAGGCTGTGACAGGATTCATGGCCGGCTTCATCATCCGCCGCACCGGCCGGTATCTCCCATTGATCTATCTCGGTATGGCCCTTACCACATTAGCCTTCTCGCTGTTCACTCTTTTGTCCGACAAGTCGACAATCCCCGCTATTATTGGCCTAGAGCTGCTCGGAGGGCTCGGCGTTGGGCTCGTCTTCCAACCTACCCTGATCGCTCTCCAATCGTTCGTTCACCAAGACGACGTTGCCACAGCTACGGCCTTTTTTGGTTTTATCCGGAGCTTTTCTACATCTGTGTCTATTGTGATCGGCGGGGTCGTATTTCAGAACGAGATGCAGTCACGTCAAGACATGCTCCAAAGGCTTCTTCCTGGGAAGGTCGCCAAAGACTTTTCGGGTCAGAGTGCTGCCGCAAATGTGGCTCTGATCCAGTCGTTGAGCCATAAAGAGGCGCAGATAGTCAAGGCAGCGTATTCGCAGAGTCTGAGCCGCATGTGGATCTTGTGTGCTTGCTTTGCTGCGGCTGGACTGCTCATGAGTTTCGGCATTCAGAATCAAACGTTGCGAACTGAATTGGTAGACGAAACGTCCGGCTCCACCGCCAGTCAATCTCGAGCCAGCGATAACAAAACATAACTCGATCGCCACCGACTCCGCGGGAATCATAAATCAAGCTCTAGACCAACAACGTATCGAGGTCCCTATGAACGGTCCATGACGGGCACATTATTTCGCTTATAAACTATGGCTGTCTATGTTACCCTTGTCTGTGAAGTACTTGCGCATGTGTAGGCCAAATGAAATATAACAAGCAAGCTGCCATACTTGCGAGGAACAAAACATAGTTATCAACCTGAACAAAATGACAAGGAGCCTGCAAAGGCATTTAGAATACACTTTCGCTCAGCTGCTGATCCACTGAAATGGCATATAGAGGTGTTGAATGACTTGCACGCTTCCTTCATGCTTATACACTGCCACGTTGCTAAGCCTTAAATCTACTATGAAACATCTAGGTTGTGTTGCATTTAATATTCCTACCGGTCCAGGTCAAGACACTCATGGTTAGGCATATATATATATATATATATGTCTCTATATCCAAACAACCTTTTTCATCTTAGCTCCGGTGGTCCACGCTAGAACTGTAATTAAACTGGTTTTAGCTTATTTAATAAGTAATAATATTGATATAACTAATTATCACATTATTGAATAAACATACAAGATCACTAATGTGGCTATCATACTAGAAACGTAGGTAGTAATAATGGTGGTCACCTGACTAGCTACAGTGGAATACTATTTTTCGCAAACCTGTGGATCGATCCATAATCCACATGGTGGGATCAGATAGTGTCGGCCAACCAAAAGCAACCCAAACCAGTAACATCAGGAATACTATGCAACAGCCCCATTAAAAGCAATAAATTCAAACTGAAGACGGATAATCAAGTGGTAGAGTTATTTATAGATAGAGTGAGTGAATGAGTGTCGACACAGGGAAAGTTCCCTTATGCCGCTAGTTATAGCTTTGGAACATAGACAGAAATGGAATCATACTATTACGCCTATGAATGACATTTGTTCCAGCTGAAGCCTCGAGCATCTGTCTCACGTAGCAGAATTCACTTCTTATCGGTCTGAGTCATCGGAGAAAGAAATCAGACATAATGCCTACAGTGGAAGGATAACACCTAATGCGGAACAATATGCTCCTTAGCCAACGGTGTGAACCGCAAATACGGCTTCACAGTTTGCATATTTGGAAACTTGACCTGCGCCTCCTCGTCGGCGACACCCGCGGGAACGACTACATCATCACCGGGCTCCCAGTTGGCGGGAGTGTTGACGCAGTACTTGTCGGCGGCAAGCAGGGAATCCACGACACGGAGCAGCTCAGTGGTGCTCCGGCCTGTGGAGGCCGGATAGGCTTGGATGAGGCGGATGACCTTATTGGGATCGATGATGAAAACGGAGCGGATCGTGTAGGCGATGCCGCGGGCGTCGACGTTGGTGGTGTCTTGGTGGTCGAGCCTGTTCCAGGTCAAGACTTGGTTAGTGATGGGGCCCCGACAGGGGCGGCAGACGAGAGAGAAGAGAATCAAACTCACATATCATAAGTATGGGCGATCCTGCGATCCTCATCCCCAATGACAGGGAACGTCAACGAACAGCCGGCGAGCTCGGTGATGTCGTTGATCCAACCATCGTGCGACTCGATCGAATTGGCTGACAGGCCGATCAGCTTGACGCCGCGCTTGGCGAAATCGGACTGGTGTTTGGCCAGGTCTGCCAGTTCGGTGGTGCAAACGGGGGTGTAGTCTTCCGGGTGGGAGAAGAGGATGACCCAGTCGTTGCCTATCCACTCATAGAAGTCGATACGACCGATGGTGGTGTCGGCTTGGAAGTTGGGGGCTTTGGATCCCAGGCGGAGTCTGTAGATCGACGCATAGTCAGGTAGAATTGTCAAAGGGACTGGCAACGTATTGACTAGTCATTGCGGATCGGCATCTTATCAAAGCCCAATGATAACCAAACATAAACAAACAGGGCACACATGGAAAAAGAAAGGGAAAAATAGAAGAGGGAAAAAGGGGAGACATGAAAACATATAAGATCACAGAAACAAGCACGGATCATCAGAATAAAACATGGAAGGGTGGGTATCTTACGGCTTGTATGCCACTTCCTCAGGCATTGTGAGCGGGACTTGATACGTTTCAAAGCCCGCGGTCGAGTCTCTGCGATTAGAAAAGTACAAAAATATGCCCAAGATCAATGACTGGTTATTCAATAATAGCTAGGGACCGGGCTAAGTTGATATTTGAGAAGACCAAGTTTGGAGACATGACATAAGGTCACAAGTTAGTCAGATAGTTAGATAGTCAGAGAGAGGAGGGAGGGAGGGAGATTGTGAGGGAGTAGAGCTAGAGAGAGAGCAAGCGGGAGAGGGGAAGAGGAGAGAGGGTTCTGGACCTTGCCAGAGCTAACCAGGGGTATTATTATTGTTGGATTTGCTCAAAATGTTTGTGCCTGTTCTGTTGTCTAGACAAATACTGCAGCCAATAAAATGATGGGAATTCCACTTCCCCATGCTTGTCCCAGGAACGGGTTAGCGCTGTAAAGTTTTTTCAGATTTTGACGTCATAAATTGGTCTTGTCAGATTCACTTTGCGGGGGGGCCATTCAACCTGCAGACAATCAGATATAGTCCTTATTATAGTCATTGATATGTATTCTAGTTCACCTAGCTTAAAAACATACTCAATAAGAAGACAACAATGCCATTGAAAAGTAAAAAGGTTGTAAAACAAGAACCATGCCTGCAAAAACTTTTGATTCCCCATACATGGAAGGGAGCAGCCAAAACCGGTTTTCGTCAGATTGCTTTAACTTCCCGAGCTCCACTTGGGCTTAGCGCCTTTTCCATCATCCAGACTTTCGGGCCATCGGCCATCTGCCATCTGCCATCTGCCACAGTGACTGCTGCTGCTGCTGCCCATCTTCCATGTTTTTGCTGCCTCCTTTTTTCCTTTTTGTTCGTGGTCCTACGTCGCACCATCAAATATACCTGACCACCTGACCATCTTGCAGTTTGCTGGATTGCTGGGTAACTCCTCACCTTGTCCTATTTCTTTCCTCCATTACTTTAATTATCAGTGGTTCCGTTGGACGATATGCTTTTGATCTTCCAGTCAACGTAGCCAGGAACGCAAATGATGATGAGATCGGCAATTAATCTACCCACGTGATAATCCTTTTATCCGCTTAATCTTCCGTCAACCCCCAGGCCAACCCGGTACCCGCGCAATCGCAGTGATGCACCGAGAGGCTCAACAGCCTCCTATCGGTCTTCTGGAGAGGCTGCAACGGCTGCCTGGCTATAGCTGGGACGAGTCGAGGCAATTTCGTTCCAGCTATGGCGTATGGTGCGTTAGCTACTTGGATTGTTGTCGTCTGTAAGGCAAAATTAGATCACGTGCTAATCCTGCGACACATAGGCATACTTTCGGCACAAAACACCTCGTCGACACCACTAGGTCGTGTCATGTTCTGCCCGTCCGTCCTCGAAGCGTGTCATCTCTCGAACAACACAACAATGGCGCAAATGTTGTCGCGCCGCCGCGCGACGCGGATGACGGTCGTACCGCGGTTGCGGACAAAGGTCGGGAGAGTGCGATGGAAGTGGTGGCGCGTATTTCTGAGAGCCCGGATCAGGAAGAAAAAGCTCAGGAGGAGTACCGGAGGCTGGCCGCTGTGGCCGATCCCCACTACAACTGTCTCCTGCGGCCCCTGGAGGTGAAGCGATTACCCGGTCGCGATCAGGAGAGCGACCCACCGCTGGTGGTCTGCATCTACGAGAGCCCCGGGCCGAATGACTTGTTGAAATACGTGGACTACAGCACGACGTGGTATCGCGACGTTCTCGAGGTGGATGGAAGTGACGAGGACCATGATCACAGCAAGGACGAGGACGATGATGATGATGATGATGGTGTGATTTCAGTGCGGCGCAATCGGAACGAGCCGATGCCACTGTCCACCTTTCTAGATTTTGCCATCGGCGCCGCGGAGTGCATCAAAATCCTCCATAGCCAGCAGATTGTCCATGGGGAGATCCGGGCGGATGCCTTTCACTTCAGCGAAGAGACCGGGAAGGTTAAGCTGATCCATCTTGGAGCTGGTCTGAGGCGTTACCACTCCGATCTGTCGAATGCAACCTGGTCCACTCTTGCCAACCAGGACGGTGTTACGGCCAGGATACCATACATGAGCCCGGAGCAAACTGGTCGGACGCCCATTCAGCCCGACAGTCGAGCCGATATCTACTCCCTGGGCATCCTCCTGTGGAGCGCTCTTGTCCAGGAGACCCCGTTTTGCGGGAGGACCCCCATGGAAATCATCAGAGCGGTGTTGGGAGAGGAACTTCCTCTGGTATCGAGCTTGCGGCCGGATGTTCCGGACCTCGTCGCGCAAGTAATCGCCAAAGCAACCGCCAAGAACGTCTCGGAGCGGTACCATTCCGTGAGTGGTCTGCGACATGACCTCGTGGAGTTGCGGAGGCTACTGGCTGCCAAAGAGCCCGATGATGAGGACAACGATGAGGGAAGAGCAGCTACTGCCGCAGAAGTCGAGAACTGGAAAATTGGTAGCAAGGATGTGTCTCCGTTCTTCACCCTGCCACGCATCATGGTGGGCCGGACACAGGAGCGAAATGCCATTGTGGAGATTCTGGACCGTACAAATCAGATGTACCAGACCGGAAAAGGGCTACAGCTGTCGTCGCTGCCGGAGGGTCAATTCGCCACGTTCGATGCGTTGGCCTTCCCTAGCGACACCCCCGGCGACGAGGATGGCCACAACGCGATGGACGGCTTTTCCAACTTGCTGGCCTCCACAAGCGGCGTGCGCCGGTCGTATCCAGCCAATACGGCCCGTATGCGGTCGCCTGCCGACTCGCGCCATGGTTCGTTCGAGAGCATCGAATCCGCAGCAGGGGCGTCGGACGCCAAGACGGCAGATAAGCGACTGTCGACCCCATCGATTGACAGCGCCAGTGTGGAGGGAAGCTCCCGATCCAGCGACAGTGCCGGGAGGACAGCCGCGCATCGCATGATGGTGCCGAAGGGACGATGCGAGCTGATCACCATCGAGGGAGGCGCTGGCTTGGGCAAGACCCGGCTGATCACATCCGTGCAGATTGAAGCCAGACAACGAGGCTTCTTTGCCAGTTCTCGGTTCGATCCTGCCGCCAAAGAGCGGTTGCGACCGATTCTGCAACTATTTTCCAGCCTGTTCGAGCAGGCGTTCTCGGAGAATACTATTGAGCCTAGCTTCCTGCCGATGTTGAGGAATCATATAGGGTCTGCGTGGAACACTCTACACAAGGTTCTGGGCCTTCCGAAATTTCTTCTAGGATCGGGTCCCGATTTGCCAGACCAGGTGTCGAAGCGTGCTACAGCCGCAGTCCCATCCTCCTCCCGTCACACCGGGACTCCGAGCTCCCAAGAGTTCCTTCGGACAGGATCCTCTACCAAGTCCTTGCCGCTCGTCCGGACCTTGCTGGATATTTTGCGAGCCTTCTCGCGATACAAACCGCTGTGTCTCTGCTTGGATGACGTCCACTTTGCGGACAAAGAGTCGTTGGAGCTTGTTGCTCAGATCATCTCTGCCAGGATCCGAATGGTGGTTATTCTGGCTTACCGGCCTGAGAGTGCCTGCTCGGAAATGACCAACCATATCTTAGATCTTTGTACCAATGAAGGTAGCTTTCCCGAACCTTTTCCTCTTTCCTTTTTTTAATATTTTATTCCAACTAGACCTATACTCATTAAACCAGCAGGGTTCCGAAAGGGAAGAGATGTGGGCATTACGACTATCACCCTCTCCCCACTCAACGAAGACAGCGTGATGGAATATGTCGCGAATACCCTCTACCTCTCCGTCCCTCTGATTTGGCCCTTGGGGGCGCTCATTCAATCCCGGACTGGTGGGAACCCTTTCTATATCCGAGAAATGTTGAGCGTTTGCTACCGACAGAAATTCGTCTGGTATGACTACCAGGAAGGATCGTGGTCGTTTGATCTTCGCCGCATATCGGATCATTTCAAGGCAGACGACTACCACGAGGCCGTGCTCGATGATTTCTTGGTCATTCGTTTAAACAGCTTACCGCCTGTCACCAAGTCAATCCTGGCCTGGGCATCCTCTGTGGGAATGACCTTCTCCTTTCAACTGGTGCGGAGGCTTTACAGCGGCGATAACACGGCTCCTCAAGCAGGCTTGCCCGAGGTGGAGATGATCCAAGCTCTTCAGCCCGCCATGGAAGCCTACGTGATCGCACCCACAAAGCACCATGACGTCTTCTCTTTCACGTATAACCGTTATATGCACATTGCAGCCTCGTTCCACACAAAAGCCAAAGACTACGTGAACTTCATTAAAGCACAAGTGCTGTTCCAGTATTATTCCCACGATGACAAGTACCGCAACATGCTGGCATCGGCCATCATTGAATCCGCCCCGGTCATCAAACGCTGCGTGACGAGAAGACAGCCTTTCCGCAAGTTTTTAGTGGACCATGCGAAAGCCGCCAATGAGACCGGCTACCGCTCAACCGCCATTGACTCGTATGCGTGTTGCATCGTCCTGCTTCAGGATAACATGTGGGATGACAACTCCGAGGATGTGAGCTATGACGAGACGCTGCACATATTCACCGCCGCTGCGGAGTGCTACCTGTACCAAGGACAGCATGCCGAAGCTAATCGCTTGCTGCAGTCCATCCTCTCTAATGCGCGCAGCGCGGTGGACAAGGCCCCGGCGTGGATCTTGCAGTCGCGCATGCTTGCGCAGCAAGGCAACTCGACCGATGCTTTCCAGGCGCTGAAAGCGTGCCTCATGACTTTGGGTCTTGATATCGATGAGGACCCGACGTTCGCGAAATGCGACAATCAATTCCGACGCATGCGCGACGCCATAACAGCGATCGACTCGGAGGGCATCGCCGAAAAGACCCCTGTGGAGCATCCCCATTTGGCTGCTGCCGGTGCGGTTCTCGTAGAGGCCACCCGGGCGGCATTCTGGTCCGACACGCTGACCTTCTATCAAATGACGCTGGTCATGGTCGATACCTATCTCACTCGCGGTACGTTTCCTCAGGCCGGCATGGGACTCTTGCAATTGGCTGTGATTGCGATTTCTCGGGACAATGCCATTTCCTTCGCCAGCCATTGTGGGGACCTCGCCTTGGCGCTGATTGAGCAATGGAAAGATCCACATACCATGGGACGTGGTATCGCCTTATACTCGACCTTTGTTGGTCATATCAAACATCCCGTCCAGTCGTCGATTGGCCAATTGGAGGGCGCCTTAGATTTTGCCATCCGCGCCGGTGACCGGATTGCAACGATCTTGAATTATGGGTTTCTGGCCACCGCGAAATTCTTTGCCTCTGAAAACCTAGCGGAGCTGGAGAACTTTTGTGTTTCCAGTTGTGAAGACATTCCTCACTGGCAGTCAGATACCCCCGGCGGCACGATCCTTATGGCAATATGCCAGGTCTGCCGTGCTCTGCAAGGGAAGACTTTCACGCACGACCCTATGGGGGTGATGAGCTGCGAGGAGCACAGCTCGACCGCCTACAAGCATTGGCTGGTGACAACGATCAAGAACAGCGACCGTCCCCTCATGCTCTATGAAAGCATGGAAATGGCTCCATTATTCCTTTATGGGCACTACGGCCGCGCGGTTGCGCTGGGAAATTCCTGCCTCAAAAAGATCAATGCTGTATGGTCTGCACGGGACACGAGGTTCCTTATGTTCTTCCATTCCCTTTCTCTAGCTGGATCCGTATGGGTCCGGAAGCAGGAGCAGCTCGAGTCCACATATCGCGCAGGTCACCCGCAGCCGGCCTCGGACGTAGACAGGTGGTCGCTCGATCCCGCTCTGAAGGAAGACATGGTCGGCATGGCGAGGATGCTGAGGTATTTCAGGCGAAGGATCGAACAATGGCAGGCTGTTTCGGATGTGAACTATCTGGCCTGGTCTAAGATGCTCGGCGCCCAGATCGCAGAGATGGAAGGTGATCAAGCCGCGGCTCTACGTCTCTACCAAGAGGCTTTAGATCATGCTTCGACCCATGGTTTTATTTTTGAAGAGGCCTTGGTCCATCATCTGTTGGCTGGTCATCTGATCCGCGAGGGCTCTTCCCGACTAGGCACTCTCGCTCTCAAAGAGGCAGTTACTCTTTATCGGCAGATGGGAGCCACCGGGGTGGCTGACCATATCCTGCAGTCGCATGATCTGCAACAAAGGGTAAAGGACGCACGAGAGGCGGCCACTCAAACTGACGCGGAAGAGATGGCCGTACCGACTAGACCACGAGTAACCACTACCAACACCGACGACACCTCCAGCGTTGAAGAGGCCGTGGCAGACCGTGCCCTCCACATATTGGATCTCACCTCCATCTTGGAAGCGTCACAGGTGATTTCCAGCGTTCTGCGGGTGGATGAGCTGCTGCGTACCATGTGCAAGATCATCATGCAAAGCTGTCATGGTGTCGCTACCCTAGCAGCCATTGTCACCAACGAGGAGGAGAAGGTCGGGTGGGCGGTAGCGGCCAGTGGGAATGCGGCCGGACATATCAAAGTACATAATCCTCCAACACCGATTCGCCACTCCAATCTTGTGGCCGAGAGCATTGTCAATTACTGCGTACGCTTCCGCGAAGCGGCGTATTTGCCGGATGTCCTGCAGGATCCGCGGTTTAGCCACGTTAGTGAAACCTGGGTTGCGCAGAACCCGGTCAGCAAAGCCGTCATGGCCTTGCCCATTTCGCCCGGTGGCGACGAGAGTGGACCCAATGTGGTCCTGTATCTGGAAGGTCCACCGAACGCCTTCTCGTATCGCACGCGGGTCGTTTTGCAGTTGCTCGTGGTGCAGCTCGGGATCAGTTATTCCAATGCGCTGACACTCCAGGAAGTCGAACGCGTGTCCACGATCAATCAATCCATGGTTGAGGCGCAGAAGCAGGCCCTGGCGGAAGCGATGGCAGCCGAGCAAAAGGCAAATGTGGCCAAGGCGGAGGCCCTGCATCATGCCAAACTGGCCGAAGAGGCAGCTAAGGCCAAGAGCAGCTTCCTCGCCAATATCTCCCATGAGCTACGGACTCCTCTGAACGGGGTCATTGGCAACTCGGAACTGTTGCTCAGCAGTCCACTGCCTGAGGCGCAGTTGGAAATGGCCGAGTCGATCCGCATGTCAGCGAACCTGCTCCTCGCTGTGATCAATGACATCCTCGACTTCTCCAAAGTCGAGGCCAACAAGATGCAGTTGCACATTGTCCCATTTGACGTCGAGAGAATGGTAATGGACGTCGTTCGCTCGATCCCGACCGACTCCAGGAACGGGCCAAGGTCGAGCGATGTCCACCTTGTGCATGACATTCAACTCCAGGAAACCCGTCATGTGTGCGGTGATCCGGTGCGCCTACGGCAGATCCTAGGAAACCTGGTAGGCAACAGTCTGAAATTTACGGAAAAGGGGTCCATCACGATCGGAGCCCGCACGGAACACGAATCCGAGGACTCTGTCCGTCTTTCCTTCTGGGTGGCCGACACTGGCATCGGCATCCCCGCTGCACTCATCCCCCGGCTGTTCAGACCCTTCACCCAAGCCGATGCCAGTACCGCGCGCCGTTTTGGAGGTACGGGACTAGGGCTCAGTATTTGCAAACTTCTGGTGGAATTAATGGGCGGCACAGTCGACCTCAAAAGCACCGAGCATGTCGGAACAACCGTTTCCTTTTCAGTCGCATTACCCAAGGCGATCCCGGGTGATTCAGGACGTACGACACCGACATGGTCTAGCGACGGCGGCCAGGGCGCGATCGATCGACAGCCACACTTGGAACTGTTGGATCTATCTAACATCCGCCTTGAGGATCTCCGCGTCTGCATCGCGGAAGACAATCTCATCAACCAGAAGATCACCGTCCAGTTCCTCAAAAAACTAGGTTTTGCCCAAATAGACACTTATAACAACGGCCTCGAAGCCGTAGAGGGCATCCAGAGGCAAGCCAGCCGGGACCAACCATATCACATGATCCTGATGGATGTTCAGATGCCTGTCATGGACGGGTATGACGCCACGCGGCGTCTGCGTCAGCATCCTATGGACGCTGTCAGGCGGATACTCATTATCGCGCTTACAGCGTCGGCGATCCAGGGAGATCAGGAGCGATGTTTGGCGTCGGGGATGAATGATTACTTGGCGAAGCCGGTCCTGCTGGGGGCTTTAAAGAAGAAATTCAATAAATATTTGAGGATTGTGTGAAGTCGATGTGGTTTTATATTCGATGTGGTGCTTTTCGATAATACCCGCGTGGTTTGTTCCTCTGCAAGATATCTCTTATACCCGCATTATATATCATAACCAAGACCTAGGATTATAACAAAGTAGCATCCATCCTCTGGATGTACACTTCGCGCTTTATCACCAGATGTAATAAGAGGTTCATGTCTTCGAGCATCGGAATCCTAATTACCCAGAAATGAATCTAGAATGTGAAGCAAACCCAGAATGAAGGCGTCTATCATGAAGTCACCCTGACAGAGGCGCCGAAAGACTCGGCTTGAGCAGTGCAGGTCGGATCGTCATAGAGCCTTCCTGAATGGATTGTCCCCCGCCGGCTGGGATAGGATCAGCGAAGATCGCTAGCATCCCTCGAACTATAGGCGATGATCGTCTCCGAGGAGGGCTGAGACACGTCATTAAAAACTTTCCTACTCTGATCGGAGCGCTAGTTAAGCTCCAATCCAAGCGGTTTTCATTGAAGCTGGACAGTCGTGGTGCACAAAAATTGCTAGTCCGTCTCACAGTGTCCTGTGAATCGTAATCCTGAGCTGATGTGATCGACATGATCGATATGATCGGCAAGACCATGTCTGGTGGCTGGCTCAGCCAACTCATGTCGGAACACTCCAACACATAAGAACAGAAATACTGGCTTTTCCCTGTCCTGCCATTTATTGCATCCTTACCTGTCGTATACTGTAGCTATGGCAGATACATCACGACGCCAGATTGTCCTGTGTTTTGATGGCACAGGAAACACATTCCGTGCTGATGGCACGGAGACGAATATCCTCAAGATTTGTCGAATGTTGGAACGAACGGATGAGCAATGTCAGTTTTTCCCTTGTTATGTTTTTTGTTCCATTAGAAGGCCATCATTTGTCTGATCCGAATTACAACCCAAATTAGTGTGCTACTATCAACGTACGACTGCGCTCTCCCCCATAACAATCCAAACTAACACACGCAGCGGGCATTGGCACCGAGATAACGCCCGGCTCACTCGCAGCAATGACGCTAAAGAAAAGCAGCCGCCTGGGCAAGAGCAAAACACTGAGCCAGGCGTTGGGAAAGTCATTCGACCAGCACGTCCTCGGCGGCTACCGGTTCCTCATGCGTCACTACCGAACAGGGGCCGAGATCTACATTTTCGGCTTCTCTCGCGGCGCCTATACAGCTCTTTTCCTGGCCAACATGCTGGATTGCGCTGGTCTGCTGGGTCCGGACAACGAAGAGATGATCCCCTTTATCTGGGATGCCTTTTCGAAGTGGAAGCTGACCCGATATCTAAAGACTGGGCAGCGCGGCCAAGCGTTTGACTTCCTCCTTCACTGTCGGGAAACACTATGCCGCCCGATTGTCAGGGCTCGCTTCGTGGGCTTGTTTGATACCGTCAACAGCATTGCAGACTTTGAGATCCATAATGATATGAGCTCCTCGGCTCTGATGACGCGCCATGCGGTGAGTATCGATGAACGCAGATCCAAATTTGAACCTGTTGTGTTGCGCCCTAGAAATGCAGACAAGCCTCGAGCGGTCCGTCACAACCGGCGTACGGAGGATTCCTCTTCCCCAGAGTCTCCGGGAGAAGCCTCCAGTTCAGCGGATGATCGTGCTGCAGCTCATGTCACCCATGTGACCGAGGACGAGGATGATGATGATGCAATTTGTGATGTGCAAGAGGTGTGGTTCCCTGGCGGCCATGCAGACATCGGTGGGGGATATCAGCGCGCGCCAACAGAGAAGAAATACCAGCTCAGCCATGCGCCGCTGGTCTGGATGGTCCAAGAGGCATCTCGGTGCGGACTGCGGTTCGATCCGGACAGGCTCAGAAGCGAGGGGTGCCTCCCCGATCCGGAGTCGCCCGATGTGTTCTACAAGGATCTTGATGAATCCATCACGACAGGCCAGCTGCATGATCGTCTTGAGTTTGGGCCCGGGATGTCCGTCCCCTCCGTGCTGGCGTGGCGAATCATGGAGTATCTGCCAATTCGCCGGGCGGAGAGACAGCTAAATGGGACGTGGATGCCCATCCACTGGCCGCTGCATCGCGGGAGGTGTCGGGAGATGCAGCCTAGTGATGTGGTCCATGTCTCTGCTTTGCGTCGGATGGAGGCAAATCCCGCCTATCGTCCGGTCAGACTCATAGCTGGAGGTTGGAAGAATGTTCCAAAAACACCTGCAGCGTATGGGCGCGGCGAATTTGTGATCCATGAGCATGAAGGGGATCCGGTGCGACAGACATATATCAGAAAACAGCCCACAGTGCCAGGCAAGACGGAATAATGGCATGCTCTCAATACCACATTTTTGGCTTAATTAAGCATTTGCTGCAGACAAATCTATGAATCTATGCAGACGAGGAGCGCAGCCCACCAATGACCCTATAAATCTCTCTGACATAGGCTTCGGTGTTGTCATTACCCAGAGTGCCTCTACCAGACATGTTGTTCATCACGTAGGCGATAGTCATGCGTCGGTCACGGTCCATGATGATCATTGATCCCCCCCAGCCCCCCCAGAAGCCAATTCGTCCCTCAGGAATCCAGGCACATGTTTGCGGTGCTGGCAGAGCCACGCCAAGACCAAATCGCAGGAAATCAAAGGTGACAATATCCGTTCCCTTGATCTGCTCCGTGAGCATTTTCTCAACGGTACTGGCTGAGATGATGCGCTTATCCTCATCCACAATGCCATCACGAGAGACTATAGATCCAATCCTGGCCAATGCGCGCGCATTGGAAAATCCATTGTTCGCACCGGACACGGTTTTTCTGAAACCTGGAGTCATAGAAGCCTCAGCGGGAAAAGGGGAGCCCGCGATCGCTTTTGCTGTAATACTTTGCGGATCCAGCCCGCCGACCGGCAGCGGTGGAGGAGGGATGACATCTGCTGTGCGTGGCCAATGTTCTTCTGGTACTCCGTACTGAAAGTCAGCTTCCAAGGGACCTGCGATTTCGTCGGCGACGAACTGTTCAAGCCGTTTGCCAGTTATACGTCGAATGATTTCGCCGATAAGGTGACCTTGATTCGTGAGATGGTATCCGCTCCTCTCCCCCGGAGTCCACCAGGGGGCCTGAGCAGCAAGCTTCTCGGTAGCCTTTTTCGTGTCATATATTTCTTCTAGAGTTATAGGAAGCTCCCATGCGGGGACTCCAGAAGAGTGACTGAGAATGTGGGCCACTGTAACATTCTCTTTGCCGTTGGCTCCAAACTCTGGCCAGTACGTGGCCACCTTCTCATTCACATCAAGCAGACCACGATCGGCAAGAATGAGAGCTGCTAAGTTGGTGACAACCTTGGAGCACGACCAAACCACTGTAATCGTGTCTTTCTGCCAAGGCCGAGTCCGGGCCACATCTGCGTAGCCACCCCACAGGTCGAGTATATTTTTCCCATCGACATTCACACAGAGGGATGCACCCAGTTCATCCCTTGAGTCAATTCTCTGTTGGAGAAGATCACGCACGGAGTGTAAAGCGGGTTCACAGGTCCCATAAATTTGGTTCATTGTGGTTTGAAAGTTGTGAAATCAATCAAGGTAATGAAGACGAGAGAATAGTTCTGCGTGGATGATAAATATGTCAACTGTTATGAAGGAAACAACGTTCAATAGGGGTGGGAAATTCGAACTTATGACTGACTGAAACATTGTTGCCTGTGAGGCGCAGCACTTCAGCTTTGAAGTACATGGCCCTAAATTTTAGATGGTTTAGGGTACCCGAACTGTCCAATGTCAATACTGCTTTCAGTTCGGCCCCAGGGATAGTGCATGTCATTTAAGATCCTAGTTAGACCTCACTAAAACTCATGGGTCAGGACTATCAGGTTTCGACATCGTAGAGTACGAAGGAAGTCAGGTAGCGGGCATCAAGCCAGATCGTCAGATCACCCACCGCTTCTAAACCATCTTAGTGTGGTATACAGTATTTTACAGTAACTCATTATCCATTGAAATATCATACATTCTTTGCTGCAATACAGCCAAGTGGGGATTGCTTTTAATAGAATCTGTCGGAGATTAGCGTGGCTTTTGTACAGGCCAAGAAACACAGTATGTCTCTGGGGAGCCAATCTGTTTTCATACTGTGCTGTACCTCTCGTCACTGGTGAGTGTGCTGGTTAACTGCTATCATCAAGCAGTTAGGATGATGGATTTCTAACGTCTTGCGGTGTCCGGTGTCAGTACCCTCTATCTGATGGAGGAAAGCCAAAAGAATTCAGGTGGTGCATGTAGGGCTGAACTGCACAATTTTTTATGCAACATGAGAACGAACATATCTTAACACATACTTGTTGGCAGTGGTTAACAAAGATTTAAGACCTATGTAGGGAGGTATTCAATAAAATATTGTATCAATGATACAAATACAAACTGACCTGGCGATATCTCTAGACCGGTCCTTCGGGAGCGAGGCAACTGCCAATTTGGCCATATGAATGGAATATTTGTAACAGCAAGTCTTGCGGGATGTGTTGCCGAACCGAACCGGACTCGGCATTAAGGAAAGCGCTTCATGAGCAATTCCGACATCACATATGTTTCTTCTGTATGATATATTCTCATCTATGCCTGCCTGGATTCCAGACGTTGAACATTCTGAGAAGCCCGCCACAGTATGGCCCTCTTTTCTCGCTCAATTCCCTCTGGGGGTATTTTATCTGTGCTATGCCTAGGGTCAAGGTATACTTTCTTGTTTTCGAGTCTCCGCCAGAGAACTGCCTTTCACTGTCCTTCATAGAAACGTTCCGGAGTTGTCTCCAAACGATCGAAGAAAGTTACCCGCCTGGCGTCCTGGTAACGGCAAGCAGGATCCCGCATGTATATTGCGGAGACCTTCCGTTGAAACCCAATGAGCGACAGGAGCGCCAGACGTGGCAACTATTGAAGCAGGTCCTAATGTAAGCCTTTGCGTGGAACCATTAGGTGGCGGGCGTCTTCCATCTCACCAGAGCAGACGGGAGGACTAATAGGGCCGCTAGGTATCCCATGCCTACAATTGCATTTATCACTAGGCATGCAGTTGGAATCGGATTTCTTCTTGCACTTTGTCATGACTTTCGCATTCAGGACAGGTCTGACTCTTCGCTGTGCATATGTCGAGAGCCATCTGCTGTGAATCTTGCTCCTCGACTAAACTTAATAAAAGCCATCTTACCGTGCTCTACGGTAGGTTCATCCCGGCTCGCTAACAGAAAGCCTTTGTATGCCCGCGAGGCTATTAAGCGCGGCTGGTTGACAAAATCGGGGATGTCAATGAGATATTTAAGTTTATCAAGGATCAGGAATTATTGGGAGTTACAAATACCCCAGCCTACCGTGAAAGCAAAATAAGGTCCAACCGGAGGGCAATCCATGCATTGAACTCAATCGAGGAGGAAAATTATTTAACAAGTCATTGCAACAATGACCAGCCAGACACTGATTCAACCAAACGGGAACGCTCCCGTCCCAGAGAGCCCAAGATCTAACAATGAGGATAGTTATGTCTGGTGCAAGTTGGCTATATCTAGTATGCATGATCTACCTTGACATGAAACACCTGGCTGTGGAAAATATCCAGCATGATCAATCGGTGGAAGGACAGCTATAACGCTAAGAGTCAGTTCTGTTCTCCAGAGGCTGCCCAAGTCTAACATATTGATGAAGAATCTGTAAAATATCCCCTGGATCACACTCAAGGCCAGATTGGGTAACTTGTACAGCTTCTGTACGACGACTGCTATCTGGTTCAGTCACCTGTGCCGTATCTTCAGCTGTATTCGCTTTCATTTCCTCATTTACCGTATGATGCAGGACACCAGAGACCATAGAACGTACAACGATGCGACTGCGGGGAAGAAAGATATGTTTTGGCATTGTCCTCCTAATCGGGGTATGCCTCGGCTGTTCTGCCGCGAGAATCTGACCACTACTTGCTTGCTGTTGAAGCCTGGAACGAGCTATTTTCATGACCTCAGAGAATCGATCCTTTGACGTAGCAGTTCGCAAAAGCTCCACCACAGGCGTAGCAACAGCCCAGACCGAGGATAATTCTCGCAGAAGTTGGATCAGTGTCTCCATACTCCTCTCTAACGTGTACAACAGCAACGGAGATCGGCTTGTTAGCCGAACCTTGAACAACGCGTGAGAGAGATCCATTCAATTAACGGCAGCTCGCAAGTTTGCAATTGACCAATATCAGAGCACGGTGCAATATACTCTAGGTAATATAACAGAGCGGGATCCGATACTAGCAAAGAAGGGCCCCACTCGCCTGTGAATATTTTCAAGTCGAACAGAGGCTACGCAACAGTTCTATTGGTCCTGCGGAAGTAGAAACGAAAAGATTGATATTAGTATCGAATGTGCGTTTATCACCCTTTTGGAGCACACAATTTTTTTGCTCAATTTGCAATTTCCCCTTCATCTTCCTGACCTAATCATGATGACCTGGATTCCTTTCCTGATAGGTATAAACCTTAGCTTCCCAATGCAGCAACGGTTCCCGCCCTACCCAATCTCTCGGCACGTCCCTCCCCTGAGTAACTTCCCTCCAGCCCTCCCTGTCCCGCTCGGGCCAATTCTCTATGAAATACTCATTACCAGGCGTATCCTGATCGGTGAAATTGGCCACCACAACCACAGGCGCCTGGCCCTGTGCTCCCCTCTTCCACGATATGATCTTGCACTCACAGTTCCCATCCACATGGATGAACTGCGTATCATTAAAGCCTAGAGCGGGGCACTCCTCTCTCAGCCTCACAAGGGTCGCAACGTAATTAAAGACCCTCGCCCTCCAGTCCTGTGCCTTTCGCTCATAATTCACTGGGTCAACTTGTTTCAGCCCTACTGGACGATCCATTTGATCACAAAATTCCTCACCCGCGAAAATCATCGGAATACCGACGGCCGTTAAGAGACAAGTAAATGCGAGTTTACTTCGTCGCTCAATATCATAGACGCTGTTGGCGGAAAGAAAGTTAAAAAGGCGCTCTTTCCTGAATCCTTCCGTGTCGTGGGAGGTGATGTAGTTTATTGCTTGTGCGCCGTCTGTGAAGGGGTGAGACTGGTCGAGCGTGCAGTTAATCATTTTACGGACCGTCCATTCAAAGTTGTCACCATCTGTGGATTGTCCGAGGATAGCTGCGCGGAGACGTCCTTGGAACGGCTCGTTCCAGAGTGCATTGAGGGTGCCGCTAGTGACCATGTCGATGGGAACGTTGAGTTCTTCGCCGATGACAAGGAATTTAGAGGGGGCAGGCGTTTCGTATCTTGATTTGTAGAGAGACCATGCCTCATCAGTATATGATTTGATGAAATCAAAATTAGCGATGTTGTTCACGCTGTCGAGCCTGAGACCGCCTATACCAAAGTCCGACATCCATCGGTGGAGGTGTCCATGATGAAAGGCCCAAGAAGGATGGACATTTCCGGGTATGCCTGATTTTGGATCGTAAGTAGTGGTGTCTTTGATGTAGCGCCACAGTCGGCCACCCCATGCCTCTCGCAGTACATTGGAATGAGGTTGGTAGCTATCCCGATTTTCTCTTTCCTCCTCTGGGATAAGGTGAAACTGTTCGAAAGCTGTGTAGATATACGGATCGTGCCCAAAAGCCATCACAACATCTGTGAGGAATCGGACGCCCCTTAAGTGAATGTTTTCCACCAACTCTACTAAATCCGTTGAAGTTCCTAGATCAAAGTCGGGGGCGTAGTAATGAGCTGTAGCATATCCCCATTCACCCATTGGTTTTGCGTCCGCAACAGGGAGCAGCTCCAGCGCGTTAACACCCAGATCAGCGACAATAGCTTCATTGGAAACAGGCGAAGTATCCCGGAACCGATCACCAGCAGTCTTTAAGTCGAATAGAGCGAGAACATCTGTGAAGGTGCCAACATCAACCTGCACATCCCCAGCCTGTTTATATTTCGCCCACGAAGCCGGGAGCTCGTAGATCACCAAGTGATTGTTGTCTGGTATGGCATCTTGTCGTGGAGGTGTCACCTGGCTTGGCTCATTTCCATCAATGTCGCAGGGCCATAGCTTGCCATCACGGAACTTGATCACGGAAGCTGGCTGGACGTGCTCAGCCTGCATTTTCGTGGCTCTGTAGTCAACCGTATATGCAATTGGATCGGTTACTCGGAATGTACCCAGATGCTCTGGTGATGAATCTTGGATCTCAAACCAGTAGTGATAGACTGTGCCATTCTTCAATGGCGGGTATATGTCATTTGGATCGAGTTCCCAGAGATCTGGTTGGTCTGATCTGCGTAGCAGCCCGGTGAAAAATTCATCAATAGTAGCCGGAGGACCGCGATCGAAAATGCCAAGTACCAGTGAAGGGCGGTTTGAAACTGGTGTAGCAGGTATCCAGAGAACAAATTTCTCTTTGCGGCGCTCGAGGAGATCGAAAGCCACTTTAGAGTATGATCTTCTGGCAGGCTCAACGGGATGGGGCTCTGTAGGTTTGGAGCTTGACGCCCAAGGAAGCTTTATTCCCTCAGATTCGGGTGTTGCCCACCATGAAGGAAGCGTTATTTCCAGAACAGACTCTGGAACATGTCGACTGATAATGTTTGCCTCTTGCATAGCCACATGACTTCCACTGTAGTTATGAAAGTATTTTTGTAACATCATTCTTAGCAGCTCCCCTTTATACCTGGTTAGAGGAATGTCAAACGTTGTGTCCTTGGGAGCAGCGAGGAGCATGCTATCAAAAATTTGGTAATAATCCAGACATTTCCGTAAAAAGAGCCGGTGATGCCGATCGACCCAATCCTCTTGGGGTTTGCCAAAGAGTGGGAGATATGCTAGTAAATCTAAAAACCGTTGGCGATCCTGCATAACGTGTTGAAGAATATGTATAAGTTCCTCCACAGTATTGCGATTAGGCAAATCGTCCCATCCCTGTGCTATTTTAAGTAAATGCCATAAGCAAGCCCCAACTGCTGTGTAGTTTGACAATCCTTTTGCCTCTTCAAGTGTAGATTCTAGGAGCGCCCTGCTTTCCACACTGCTCAATACCCGACTGCGTAATAAGTTCAGCTTCACCATAGAGGTATCTGGCATCCATTGCTTGATCCTTAAGGTATCCGTTTGCATTTGGTCAATCAATGATCTGGCACGTTCACAGAGGGTTTCTCTCCTCTCTTCCTGGCCCGGAGGGTTCATTTCGAGCTGAGATATCAACTTGTCACAGTACGCCTGTCTTATAGACAGAATAGCTAGTTGGCAATTCTTAGAGGGCTCCCTCCCTTCTCTGCTCTGTCTTCCGATATATTCAATCATCATTTTGTTGAAGTTGTTGAAGCATTCGTTAGCTGCCCCGAACCTAAGGACATCGAATAAAGCTGCCAGGACCTCACTGGACTCCCAAAACCGCTTGATATCACAGAGGAGGTTGCTGAACCGAATGAATGAGGCCCATTCTTCCGTTTCTTTCAGCCATGGAAGGTTCTTATCGTCTGCTGAGAGGAAAGTAGAAGTGTTATCTGCAATTACAGCAATCCGTAAATACAGAGTAACTTTGTGGATCTGTCCATGTTAGAACAGAAAACAGGCTCTGCAGAGACCTTACCTCAACGTCTGAAGGACTCTTATAAATAGTGCTAGATCCTTCTAGTGACCTGATTCTGTCCCTTGCAAGCTCAATGGCTTGTAGCAATGAACCATGGGTTTTAACCCTTGTGAGCATCATCAGGAGACTAAGCACTTGGTTTTCATCGTCTTCATACTTGCTTTCCTTTAAGCATTGACTGAGGAAGCTCCCGAGCTTGCCATATAGCCCTTGCTCATAAAGAAAGTCGGCCCATTCAACTGCGACAACAAACTCATCGGAAAATTCGGAAAGATGGTTCTCAAATAATTCAGTGCCTTTGTTGAATAAACCGAGCCGATTAAAATAAAAAAGCCTTTGTAAATTCAGGGCGTCATCAATGACTACCCTGTCCCCTGCGCTCCCTGCATCATCACTGTATGTCTCTGAGTCACTTATAACCTCTCGCGATTCCATTGCATTAATTGAGACAATGAAAGTCAGGACCGTGGACTTGTGGATTGGAAAATCTCAATTAAAATAGCTGGGGGTTATAAGACAGTTTCAAATATTCAACATATTAAACCAGTACGATGTAGTAATGAACATCCTTCCTGATCAACCGAAAAGCTTGCTGGTGGATATTCATGATCAGTTACTATACCCTCTTCCAGTGAACATCTGTTATGGGCGAATAATTTCACTTTCGCAGTTACATCATAATGATCTCTAGTAATTGTTTAAGTTATTTCTATCAGCTGATTTTCTTGTTGCAATTGAAATAGTCCGTTCTAGTATCTTGGACCTATGTCATAGTGAGTACATTTTTGAGTAACGGGTGGCAACGGGAATTAATACTGCATCCGATTTGATGTATATTGTGAGGCAATATGGATATTTTGATGAATTCAGGGTGGTATATTATGACAGATTAGGCTGCCCTTTAACGTCCTGCAAAGATCATTATCCCTGTTGTCTCTTTTCCTGATTCCACATGGGGTACCCTAATATCGAAGGCACGAGATACCCAGTAAAACTTAAAGAGCGCCTACAACAGGCTGAAGAATATATTGGCTCGTTAGAATGGAAGTACGGAACACAAATTGACTGTACCATCACCTCCAGAAAAATCAAGTGGGGTGTTTTGGAGGATAGGCAAGCTGTCATGTTGTACTTCGACGCAAACTTCATTCGAGATCCACAGGGTCCGACCATCAAAAGTGCTTCAGTGTTCTTGGGCTTCCAAGGGGACTCCATTGACTGCGTTACGCAGCTTGAGCCAACTGGGCTAATGGGACCATTAGTTACAGGCAGGACTACAAGAAACGTGAAGCTAGATCCAAAAGTCACATTCCACGAAGCCGGTCTGAGTCTAATAAGTGCTGAGTGGGATACAAAACCACCGCAAGATTTCTGGATATTCCAAGGACATAAAGCTGTGGTACCTGGGGAAAACAGACGCTCAGCGGGAAAATGGACATGGAGAGCCAACTCTCTTACACAGAATGACTGGAGCCGCGAATTCAGATTAGGGACCATTGTGTTCCTTCGAGATTCTACAAAGCTTCCATTCAAAGTCCATCTCGATATGCGAGGGCAAAAGCGTGGTTTCTTGGCACGCAGTAAAGCCAAGACCGCTGTCTCTGAAGAAATATGCCCCCCAGAGTCGTTCAGTGAACCTCTGGAAACCAAGGCAAGGATATTTACAAAGGAAATTCTGCAGGACAATTGCCAGAGCTTGAAACTAAGTGGTAAAGTTCCCACTGACCTGTAGTAGTACTATTTTACTAATATTATGCAGTCATTGATTCGGAAAACATTACATCCTAAAGCTCACTGCTGCTATGTGGAACTATTGAAAGACCAATCAGGTCATGATGCTGCAACAACATCCAAGAGCTATTCTAGCTTTATTCCTTGATCCATCTCTTCTTCTATTTCTTCCGTTTCTCAACCTTCCATGTTAGCTACCATTGATGGTAAATTGTGAAGGGTTGGATGATGGTCTATCTCAGTATACGTTAAAACATTTATAACAACAAATCACAGCTAAGCAGAGAGGTAAAAGGGGTGGGGTATGATCCCATTAAGTGGATTTAGTGGGAAGTGAAAGAAGTGAGATATAGGTTCTTCAAGTGAAGTAAACGTGAGGTGACTAAGTACTTCCAGTGTTAGTGTTGATGTGTATCTTATATATACTTTCAGGGAATGTTATACTTTAGCCTCAGCTTTACTGAATTAGGATTTTCTTTGTTCTATACCAGTACCAGGAGAATTCCTCTCTGTACAATGCTGGTAGACTCCTCTGACTTCATCGCGCATTACCATCATACCACTCTATTACTATTACCATTCCCTTTGTGTTCCCTTTGTGTTTCCTTTGTGTTCCCTTTATCTAGTATACTTCATTTATCACTTCATATCAGAAACCTGAACGTCGAAATAGAACCGGAGCTACTGCTAGAAAGAGCACCGGTGGATGCCCAGCAAATAAAAAAATGCGACTAAAGCAGATTGCGTGCAAGACATTGCCTGAACAGAAGGGTGTTGCTATGCAAAAGATTGTGCCGAAGAAAAAGCGTTGTGCTCACCTGGGAAGTAAATACTTAACCACCAGAGTATTCTACAGGGAGCAGCTATGATCGCCACCTTAAATGATGTGGGATACGGTACCAGGCTGAACCCCACAAGCGTGAATACCGCACCAATCACTCCTCAGTTACAGCTTTGAGTGGCGAGCCTGACCGTAACACTCTATTGCCGTTCATTCTTCTTGGTCGCTGCCAAACGGTACGGAGTATTAGTTTATGGATTGTATTTCTTTATTCGACATACTAAGACAATAAAGTTTCATGAAATCCCCGTCAAGACCTTATCCTGGTCATGCCATACACAAAGCGGGCTGCATCCGCATATTTTGCGGACATTGGGGATCATAACTTCTCTAAGTCCCGTACTCCTAGGCAGTTGGAAATCGTTTCCATGGGAGCGTGATATCTCCAACATGATTTATAGCTAGCACGCCGTTGATTGACTCATCTTTCTTGAGTAGTTCATCGTGGAGGGAGTCCAGTTGGTTCCAGGATTCAGCGTATATCATACCCTTGAGGCGTTCCGACTCAATATCATCAGGAACACCCGAGTCACTTGTGTGCTCCTGAAAATCGGTAGGCCGAGCCACGCCTTTTTCTTCTCCCTTCTGATCCTGTCTCAGAAGGCCGGAGGCCCTCAAAAGTCGTTCCGGAGGGATGGCGAATCTCCCTTTCTTGAACACATATTTGGAAATTGACGTAGCAAAAATAACCGGCTGGCTAGAGCTGCATTTGGATTCTCCGATCGAGCTCTTCGAGTCAAGGCGCGTGGATTTGGCGGCTAGATAGCCTGCCGGTTTCGCTGAACCTTTCTGGACGAAATGGGTCACAATATAGAGCCATTTTCGATCCCACGTAAGAATCCTGGACCACATCTCTCTCTTGAAGCTAGTGGTGACTGACCCGATAATAGCAGCCAGCATGCCCTTCTTTCCCTCGGCGGCTAGTTCGCGGTCAACCGTTACCAACCCGTCATAACAGAGGGCGGAGAGAAGATATGATCGGCTTGCATCCAAATCAGTGAAGTATGTACTGTTTGACTTGTGCAGGTTGTAATCGCATTCAAATAAGGGAGCGTAGGTGCTCGTGATAGAAGGTAGGAACACCGTCGGGGTCTTGGAGTCAGGGATCCCAATCCGCCCAGCTCCGGGGCTTACCGGCTAGCTGGGGGGCTAACCTGTTGTGCAAGCCCATAGCAATGCCGCCCCTCGCGCAGTGACCGATTGTCATTAAGGCTGAGGGGAATATCGCATGGCCTAGTTCATAGATGGAGAGCAGCAGACCGGCTTGAATAATCTGTAGGGTGAGAGGTCCCTTCATATGCAGATCATTCAGGAATTGCGTAGCGACAATATAGAGCTCTGACTGCCCTTCCTGTTGCGGCGGCGGCACCTCCTGGACAAGTTTCATACAGAGATATAGCAGAGCGATATCCGCTCTGATTATGCCGAGGGAGCAGTCTGCGAGCCGGTCCAATCGGATTTTACTAATTATCGGCATCCATACATGAACGGATTGAAAATAGCGAGCCTTGATAAGGTCRATATCRGACCGGCTCCCCAGCAATTTCGCGATCTCCTCTGGAACCGGCTCATGGATACTCTACGCCGGCGGATTCCAGGCGGACAATATGTCCGCATCAAGGTATGAAGCTTGCACATGCAGCAGCGACTGCGGCAGATGGGGCAAAGACGAATGCTGGCAACTCAACCGACCCGCTATAGGAACTGTGCATCGTGTCTCGTCTCATCAAGAGGCTCATCGCACTGAAGAGATACTACCCACAGTGGTATGGAGGCGAATGCAAAAAGCAAGCCTTGTCTGTTTTTCTTGGGTTTATATCGGTCACTGAGGGTTACCAGGACCCTCTTATCCCTCTCGCCGAGAGGGACGGGGTTATCACCGCGACCCAGAACCGTTGCTACCTCGTCGGGCGAATGAGCAAACATGACGTCATGACAGCAATGTTCGTTCAAGACCTCCTCAAACACGTTGCTCATTACATTGTGGTAGTCTACGGGACCGGTGGAGATAGATTCAAATCTCCAAAAGTCACTCACCAAACAGACGTGCTAGGCGACAATCTTTGGATCAATCGCAGCCGGTCGGCGGACACACATGCCCGTCTGGAAGAGACTGTGTGGAGCGTCAAATGGTCATTTGAAAACATCCGCAATGATGTAGGATTCGTGCAATCCTACCAAGAACGCAACCGTTAAGGACTACGCCGAGATCTTGATCATAGACAGACATCCAGGGCGCATATTTAGCCTATACAGCCTTGTTAGCGATGCCTTAATGATGCTTACCAATGACCCGACCGAAGAAGAGATCATGAGAAGCGCCATTCGCAAAACAATACCCGAAGACGAACTAAGACAGTGGATGGATGCCTGCTCGTTGGATGGTGCATCCATCGAAGACAGACACGTTGGCAACATTCACTATGAGGGAACCCGACTCCGAGCATGGGACGTGCAGCAGAAACAGCCAGACCTAATCCGCTGTTCGCTAAATATCAAACCCTCACTCCGAGACCGCCGGCTGATATGCAAGATCCTGGATCAAATGGAAGCCAGCGGAGTAATCAGCCAACTCAAAGAACCACACAAGACCTACTGTAGACCAACTCTTTTGCACGGCACAGACGGCCTGGAAGACCTCTACTTCCACTATGACTTCGGTCCAATTGACGAAAATGCACTTGCACTGGGGCCGCTGGGCACTTCTCCAGCACCCGACTCACTAAGCCGATTCACTCACGCGTTTCAGGCAGCCCACCCAGACGGGGTTTTTGCCAAAGGAAGGGTGAACGTTCACTACTGCGCGTGGCCAATTCCTGCAGTGCTCCCTAGTGCGTGGGGTGATCCTACCTTCTGCACCAGCGAAGGGTACCTGTATCGCTGGAATGTCCACCCGTTCGACTTTCCGTTGTCCCAGCGCGCGTGGCAGAGTTATGTTGATCATACGATAAACAAGAGATTCCCGTTTGCGCAGTGTGTGGGGACAACGTTAGTTGTGGCTGCTACCAGTTCGGCAGATGCAGGCAAGAACCTTACGTTGCTGATTGAGGCGACAAAGCAGAAGGGGTGGAGATTGACTGTTCTACATACATCAAGCTGGGCAGGGGATATTGACAGTTTGGCATTGTGAACGTTATGGGCTGGGATATCTCCGGTCGTACAGGAGTGACAGACAACCGATGCACTAGGATTGGGACAGGTATGGATTTAGTATGGCTTCGTCCGAGAGTGGCGTTGGTGGGGTGTATTCTCTAAGGTCCACTTGCATCGTCCAGACCGAGTCAATAAAGAGTCGCATAGTCAGTAAGCAGGGCAGGAGCGAAGTCTGATATATAGCAGTTTTCGACTCGAGAGGGAGTTTTAGTTGCGACGTGTTTCGAGTTACGGTGCTCTTCCACTGTGATCACAATATATTCCCTGATATCCCGTCCTCGTGTGATCACGCTCATTATGCTCGAAGCGCTATGCGACCACTTGCTAGACAATCTAGATCTATACCTCGATGAGATGGCAGAGTTTTTGTATGATGAATTCGACGTTTTCATATCCACGTATAGCATCAGCTGGGCCCTCCAATCGCATGGTTAGACTACAAAAGTAGCCTAATTAATAGCACAGAAAAGAAACGCGGATCTACGAGATTACTATTTGTATTAACTATAAGATTTTTGCTCGTAATACCAAGTCTTTATAGATGGATTAGGCTGTTATAAATGGGCTAATTTTAGGAGGACAGACTGGTCTCCCCACAGTCTGACACCTGTCTAGGTTTCCTGATTCAGGCGGGGTCAGTGATATTACGGATAGATTCTCCCAGCATATTACTAGAATGGCATTTTGTTGTCACAAATCTTTTAAGAATCGACTGATGCCAGTATGTTCGAGGTTGTTGTCGATCAGCTTCTCTACCCTTATAGTCAATGGCCAGAGCCAAAGTCTCTTCTTATTATAGATAACGTAAATTCTCACTATACTGAACCATTAATGGAGTAATACTTACTACTGTATACTCAATGTCAATACATATCAATGACAAGAGAGCCGAATCTGGATCATGATGGATGATGATTGAGCTCTGCCGTATCCAGATTTACATATCGTGATACATGCTGGCCGTGAAGCCTCATATTAGATGATGAAGAGACCTTAGTGTGAAGTCCTGGCCTCAAAAAGTATTTTATCATCAGACACTAAGATCCTTTACTGACTGTGATGAAGGCTCCTTAACATATGATGCAACATTTACTATTTGCAGACAAGCTGATTTTAATGGACTGACCATCCATTGTCTTCTTCAGTCTAAAGACTGCACATTTGTCCCACCTTGAACAATCTACTGTCTAATCAACTCAGTCACGATAACACCGCTTCCTACCCATATTGAAAACATCCATTGTAGATAAGTAGCCTGTAGCAAGGTATGGTTCAAAAAATTATTCGCCATATTAGTATATAATAATCCCATCCGTTGTCTATAGTATAAATGTCTCCGCTCGATAGCTGTATTGTAAAGATACCTAGTGGTGTAACCTATGTACGCCCGCTGACACACCTGGTAGTTGTACTTGGTACCCAAAACCAGCAGTCTCAACGTGTTATGTATAGAACAGTGTACCCATCTTTGTGGAACATATCGCAGATGAACATTTCAAACATAGAATTTGCCCTGTCCTCTTTCGGCTCGCATCAGTCTACAAGACTGTTTTCCGGAGATAAAAACTATCTTGTTTTTGTTAGTTATGCAGATTGTTGTTTTTGTACTGTCCTTAGTTGGTAAATCTTGAAGAATTACACTTCCAGTCATAATATGCAAATATCTATAACACAAAAGAACACACCTCTTAGAGGCTATTAACCTTAATTTTCACCCCGGCATTGCTAAGTCGGTGGATGTATTCCTGCCCTAGACAGGCAGGTGTTAAGATGCCACCTCTGGGCTTGCTTAAACGGTCACTGTTACCCCTTAGCAGAACCATCGCAGCCTCAGCAAGAGCTAATGCTGTTAATAGGTACGGGCTTCTGCTCCATTTGAACACAGCAAACACTTTCTAATGCTCTGCCGTGTCAGTGGTGGCGATGCCAAGGTAATTTGTGTATTCCATCTTTGCTGAGGGCGCACCATGCTTAGGAGGCACCTTATAATATATGTATCTTATAACCTAGCAAAAAGGCAGGAAGCAGAAAAGTAGAATATACATCTTCCACCTCTAATAGAAGAGTAAGGTAAGCAAAGGGCCCTTAAATCACATGAGCTCTTTGAAATAGAAAGAAGAGCTGTATGATTTAGCCAGGCTCTCTGTGAGTAATTCCTGGCTGTGATGCACTAGAGCTGTGTTAATCCTGCCCTGAATGCATTCTGTCAAGACCCTGAGTTTATGGATGTGATGGATGCTGGTGAGTCCTTTGAAGAATGCTGCATACTGAGAGACTGTGTTTAAGATGTTGAGATGAGAAGATAATGCGTATGGGCTTAAAGATATAATAAGCTTGTTAAGTGTATATACTTCAGTAAATATGAGCAGCGTTGTAATGGTTCTAGAGGCTAACTTATGATTAATTAAGTGAATACTAGTGATAACCTTAGATGTCAGAGAGGAGAACTTCTGTTAGAAATAATTTACCATAGCTAGTGTTAAGATATCGGCAGGGACGCTCTTAATACTGTAATGTGTGATTATCTTTTTAAGAGCTTTGTTAGAGATAATATTATGACTACGCAAATTAGAGTAGATCTCACGCACTTACCATTGCGCCGTTTACTTTCGCAATGTCATGGTAACTATGAATCATCTGCCTCACCTAAGGTGTCTCGCCCGTGCTGACAGTTGTTAGAAGAAGCTAGAAGCTTAAGAGTGGACTGACCAATCTATATAGTGTGTACTATTTACTGCACATGCTTTAACCACTAGAGAGCCATATAGCATATATGGCCTAATGGTAGTGATCAGAAGATGTGTTCTCTTGGCTAGACTATGAAGCTGGCTAGAGTTAAGCTGGATCACTTCAACTCCTGTATAACTAGAGTTGGCGTTAGACCTCCTAAAGAGAAGGCAAGGCTCACCTAGTGGTTTTTAGGCTGGGTCGTGAGCTTTTAAGCACTTAAATAAAATTACCAACTTGTTGGCGTCTCTTCCAGCTATTGCCCAACGAAGGTTAGGTGGTAGCTTAGCAGCAATGTATTTGGCACAAAGCTTTCCAGTATGTCCTGAGGCGCCGAGGAGTACGAGTTCATACTGGGCTAAGTTAGTTGCCATTGCCAGATTGTGAATAGCATGTTGTGCAAAGACAGAGCATAGTTCTGACAGTGACATAGTCTCCAGTTTATTGAGGTTAGTTACTTGGCTTCTATCTATAATTTCCAAATTCCAAGCTCCCATACGCCCACAGGGTGGTTAAAAATGGAGAGTATTTGATTGGAGACTTTCATGCCTGAAAACTGGTTTTTCTGGTAGCATACTTACCACGCCCTTCGGAAGGGTTGCATGTAACCCTCGTATTCGTGGCTTCTGTCCATGTCCGGTTAGCGCATAATTTGACCAACTTAGCAAAATAATACCAGCGTGAAGCCTCTTTAAATTGAGGTAAAGGGGCGCAGGGCCCGTTACAGTAATATGAATGCCTTGGAGTGCAGTATAACTGATAATTCTGCCATGTTGTGAGCGAATATACAGATGAAGCCCTACACCGCCAAGCTGAAACCCAACCAGTACCAAGACTGCTCGCAAGGGAAAGGCTGAACATTGGGTGGTGCAGGCAAACTTTCTGTATATGCATGCAGCCATCTTTGCTTACGCCTTCGCAGCGCATTTGTGGGAAGAGTAGTTGACTGGAGTGGACCCAGCAAAGAATGACCGCACGTATGATTGGCAACTTCTGAAACCACCTCTCCCACTTCAGAACCAGATAAAGTATATAATTAAAGCACGGAGTAGCAAGGCCTGAGTCATTACATGCTTTCGCTTTTCTCTTGTACTACTTTCGCGTCACTTCCACGGCCTTACTGGTAGTTAACCAGGCACGAAATTATAAATTTCAGTTTCATAAACACCCTTAACACGTTGCTTTAAGGGTTTGCCAACTAAAATATGAATAGTATCAGACAATTTGAGCTCAATACAGTAAGCAGTCGTACCCATTGTCTAGCATACCCAAGTTACTGAGCCGAAATAGTGGATCGACACTCATGAGAATCATGACACGTTGGACATGTCAACAACGGTTTCGTCGCCTGCGCTGTCGATTGACGATCTAATTGCGTTATCCACTGATTCCGAGGCAACTAGAAGAGCATTGTCACTAGGCTCTGTTCCACTAACCTACGGAGAGCCTAATGGAAGCGAAAACCTGCGATATTCAATTGCTTCTCTTTACACAAATCCACAAGTCACAAGTGGACATATAATAACGACTAGTGGGGCCGTGGCCGGCAACCACATTATTTTCTCTGCGCTGATATGTCCTGGCGATCACGTTATCTGCATGTACCCAGTATACGAGCAACTCTATAAGATCAGCCAAGCATTGGATGCTGAGGTCACTTTTTGGAAGCTCGAGGACAGTAATGGTTGGAGCGCGAACATGCAATGTCTCCGCCAAGCTATTCGCGAAAATACCAAAATGATCGTCCTGTGCAGCCCAAACAACCCAACTGGTACATATCTACCAATCGCAGTGCAGCATTCTATCCTGGAATTGGCAGAAGTCCATGGCATCATTCTAATGGTTGACGAGGTTTTCAGACCGATGTTTCACTTCTCGTCAAATCACGAGGAGGAGCCAGCCTCCTTCCTTGAAAGTGGATATGAAAAATGTATTGTCACAAGCTCTTGCAGCAAGTCATATGGGCTTCCCGGTATCAGAGTTGGCTGGATTGCGACTCTCTCTAATGACTTCATACGTCGTTTCACTCAGATCCGTAACTACACTACTATAAGTGTTGGCCTGGTTGACGAGATTATTGCCGCAGAAGTACTCTCACCAAGATGCCGACTAAGCTTGCTTCAAAGAAGTTTAGATATGGCAAAGGCGAATCTTAGATTTCTCAGGGAATTTGTTGCCAAGAATCAACTGATCACTTGGACACCTACTCATGCTTCAACTTCAACTTTAATAAGGCTACACAACAAGGACGGATCGCCCCTAAATGATCAAGAGTTTGCTCTAGAGTTCTTGAAGGCCAACAATATCCTATTCTGCCCCGCTAGCCTGTGCTTTGAGGAGAATGGCCAGGGCTGCCTTCAGGGCTATCTTCGCTTGGGTTTTGTGATGTCTCCCGAGACGTTTCGTCATGGCTTGGAGAAGCTTGCAGACTTCCTGGAGGCATGGCCCATGTTTTAATAAAGCTATTAGTGGATAACTGGGGTTGTGTGATTAGAATGACTGCGAAGAATTCCCTCTACGCCCGGGAAAAAGCATATTCTGGGGCGGAAGATATTAAAATACGGCGACGTCGAACTGGATCGCATTAACCTGGAACTTGCCGGCAATGGGCCGGGGGCCTTCCAAGTGCAGAGGTAGCCTCAAAGCTATTCTATTACGTAGCATGACAATTGAAGTACTTGACCATAATTAATGTGATTTCAAAAGACAGCCGGCCAAAATTCCGAAGTACTGGCAGAAGTTCGGTAATCATTAGTTAGTAATTTGTATGAGATAAACACCAATGGAAGTCCAATTCTTCTCATCCCAGTGGCTATCTAGTTGTGTCTCTGTCAACATCGAGTGAAAAATCATGGTGCAGCACTCCGTTGTGTTAAAGTCCGACCAATATGGGAATGTATATAACCAGGCCGTTATAAATTATGGAAATCCCGATAGCAAGTTAGAGGGAGAGAATAACGGAAGTCGCAGCGACAAGGGTGCGGGGCCGCCACGACCCCCCATCCGGTCACCACATTGCCTGGAAATGGCCATACCATCTTAATCTGCTCTTATTCTTATGTCCCACCTTCATGAAGCCTAGCCCATACTATAACAGAGTAATATATATCATCCCACAAGACAAAACTTATGCACAGGGAATCATACGAGGTGACTCCAAGCCCCACTCCATAGTGCATGTTATCGATACCGCTAGGCAACAACTTATTTTCTCAGCCCCTGTGACCATAGGCCAACGCCAGACCCAAAGTTCGCACGTAAGAAATGAATTCATGTACACTATATTCATAAGGATAGTTCTGGCCTGTAACCTGGCCTCGATATTGCTTGATTTCGTCAGATACTGGATCAGATGATACATATGTGCCGTCAAGAAGTGGCGGTATGGAGACGGCTACTTAACTAAAAACAGTTATATCTGGTCTCATAGACAGTTTAGAAATATATCCCAACTTCAACTGTTTGGCGATATGTGGCTACCAAAACTGTGTAAGTATTGTATCCTTCTGTCTCTACCCTAACACACTTGTGCCGGTTGAATTTATTCAAATGCTAGCTAACTCCATGATTAGCGCAATAGGAAGCCGCAATAGGAGTACCAGGTTGTTTGTTTGGGGATTCAAAGGAGCAAAGTGAGGGTGAGAGAAAGAGGTGTTTATGTGATTTAGCAATGAGACCCAGAGTAGAGGGAGCCACCAAAAGCGACTGACTATCCGTTGGGGTCAGAAGTTTTGGATTCATTACTAGGATAGATAAGATTTTAGTTCTTAATTAATTTGCCAGATTAGTTCCTTGGTGCCTCTATGGATGTCTTATGATTTGACGTTCTGCACTCTACTCAACCAACGCGTAACGAATTGAGTAAATTTTGCATGTGAGACGGAACCACGCCTGTAAATGTTGTCTCAATTCAAGCCCTGACTCCGTATAGGCTTGGCGATCTTGTTCGTATTTATTGATGACTCACCGATGAACTAGCTCCCCGGAGATCTGAGCTCAAGACCTGACTGATGAGAAAGTTGCCCTTGTATATGATCTCGCCTTGCTCTGTTAAATGACCTTCAAGATATCGTGTCTCCAATACTTGCCCCACAGCCTTCAACCAGCTCCTCCAGACGGTCGCAATGGATCCCTTCCCATTGGAACCCTACCGCTCCGCGCGTCTCCTTTATCGTGCGCCAGAGAATGACCCAGCAGATGATGCATTCTTCCAAGCTCTCTTCGCTGACCCTGTAGTCGGATCTATGGCCACTACCGCCATCATACGCCCGCTCAGCACAAAGGAACGGAAGGAGTTGCAAGCAAAGCAGCTTGCTGCTGCGTTCATGTCAGTCATGATATGTATCATCCCGGACGAGGGCTCCGAAAAGGTGCCCGAGATAATTGGTGTGATCTGGTTAAAAGAGCAAGTCCCTGGCTTCACACATAATCGCTCACACGAGCTGGGGATCACTATTGCGCGCCAGTACCAAGACAAGGGGTATGGGTCTGAGGCTATCTCATGGATGCTGGACTGGTCTTTTCTAACTGCGGGCCTGCACCGCGTTGAGCTGACGGTCTCTGAGTGGAATGAGAGGGCACAAAAGGTGTACCAAAGGCTTGGGTTTGTATCAGAGGGACGGAAGAGGCAGTGTGTGTGGAAAGGTGGAAGGTGGTGGGATTTAATCTATATGGGCATTTTGGCGCATGAGTGGGAGGCGAAGAAGGCTACTGACTCCTGAAATACTGATCGCTGAATCTGGCAAACAGGTGATATTTGATAAATAAGATGGTGTCAGCCCTGACAAAAATTTTGCGCAATCTGCTATTATCATATATAACAATCATACAATATGAGTGGATGGATGAAATGGTTGACAGCACTACCCAAAACTAAAATGTCTACAGTAGGTGATCACCTGACACCCGATTCCCCTCATTCTCCGTGGAAGGCCCAACAAGCTCGTGATCTTCAAAAGCAGAAGGATGAAGCTATACAGCTCGCTAAAGCTTCAAATCGAGGAAGAAAAGGTCCGCCGGCAGCAAGCAAAGGAAGAGACACAACGCTTGCTTGAAAGTGCAAGAGAATTCGAGCATCTTAACAAGAATTATGCTGCTTAGAGGCAGAGCAGAAGAAATAACAAAAGGAGGAGGAGCACCTGGCAGAGGAGGCAGATTGATAGCTTCATAATGACTTCCAGAAGGCTAAGAAGACTCTAAAGAAGCCCTCTAAAGCTTCACACCAGCAAAATCTCCGTACAAATAAGCTAATGAGTGCTGAAGTTGTTGCAGAGGCCCTTCATGTCCGCGCTAGGCCGCATATAACAATGGTGTCCGACCTAAGTTATCCTTTGAGTCCGCCATAACATCTTGTCGGTCCAGCAGTAGCCTAACCACTGCTTTATGTCTGCCTCCAGCTGCAAAGGATAATGCTGTCTGACCTAAATTATCCTTTGAGTCTGCCTTAATATCTTGTTGGTCTAGCAGTAGCCTGATCACCCCTTCATATCCACCTCCAGCCGCACAGGATATCGCAGTCAACCCATTATTATTCTTTGAGTCTGCCTCAACATCTTGTCAGTCCAGTAATAGCCTGACCACTGCTTCATATCCACCTCGAGCTGCATAGGATAATAGAGTTAACCCATCATTATCCTTCGAGTCCACCTCGACATCTTGTCGGTCCAGCAGTAGCCTGACCACTGCTTCATATCCTTCAGCCGCATAGGATAACGGCGTCCGACCACAGTTATCCTTCGAGTCTGGTCTGATACTGTAGTTTGCGAGCAGTGGCTTCATCAATTCGCCTTCTCCCTCCTTTGCAAGTATATGTAGATCGTCCTCCCTCCTTCGTCCTGAAGCTTGGTATGCTGAAAAGTTAGAACCCGTGCCAGCCCAGGAACCGCACGTAAGAGAGACAGCAAGTCAACAGGCATAAGATATTCAGCGGAAAGCAAGATAAGTTCGATAGGGAGATAGGCTCCTACCCTAGACGCTCTCATTATGTCGCTTTCGCGGAGATACGGAGACAGTAGATATAATATAATTCACACGACCAACTAGGAAGTCGAACGACGCAAATGATTCAACGAGGAACAATGTTCAAGAATAAATGAGGTTTCAGTTTCCCCAGCTTGTCRAAGTGCTCCTGAATACTACCTCAACTGTTTTGTACGGTAAACAGGGCTAATTTGGAATACCCAATGTCGTAACATGCCAGTACTAGCACCTTGTAGTATGTGTGCAAAACCAGTGTGAGTGGGGATGGCACGGTCACTGGATAGCTTTCTCAGGCACCTGGTGAAAAGTCAACTGCTCGCTACTTGCGGCCCACAAAGAGGCTGTTTTCCATGGTCTGTCCCCACTGGATCAAGGACACTCTTGTACTGTGTAAGGTGGTTGTATTATGTGAATCACACACGGAGATCTATAGATACAGGTCTAAATGCATGAGTAGTGCTTATCAGAGTGACAGAACAATACCACCAAAATAGGTGCTCCAAAAGACACCAATCTTACAGTCACACATCTCAAGTTTGGACACCCCCTAGTTAACCCACCTTTACCCCGCACTCACCGCCTAAAAAACGCTTTTTTACCTCTAGTTTCTCCTTAATGCGCGTCGTCCCCTAATTATATGGACTATGCCGCATTCTATGGGAGCTATTATTAGAATCAGGGTTAGTATGAACCATACTAGCTTGAGGTTAGATGAATAGGTGACGTTTTGGTCGGCAGAATATTAGGTAATAATGGGGCCGGTGGGGCGAAGGGTGTCCGAACTTATGAGGTGTCACTGTATGTCTTATACATAGCCCGATGATTGGTACAGAGCGGCACCTATCTTTCTCCAGATCATCGGTAAGTGGAGCTGAATTGTTAAGAGGACCACTAAAAATGCTTTCGCCGTGGTGGACGCTCCTGAACGCGAGTCAAAGTGGTTTGTGCTTGTCTAAGATTTCTTTGTTTGGATTGTTTTGCACGAGTTGAGTCGAGAGTGTGAGTGATAATTTGTCACGAGGAGGGGACATCGCCAGCATCCAGCAGGCAGTTACCAGAATATCAGCGCTGTGGGAGCCCATCTCCCTATCAAACTTACCCTGCTTTCCGCCGAATCTCTCTCCACGTTGTCTCCCAAAAAAATAACCAAATCTGAGCAGCCATTGGCCTCGCCGCCCCTTTTGAAATCTTCTTCTCCTCCCTTCTGATTTTGATCGGCTCCGTCTTCCCCCACTTTGGAACCCTGTCTTTTACCACCCCTGAGAACCATAGTTTGCCTTATCTCCAACTGCCTTTTTCCTCTCATAACTACTTTATCTCATTTTTCGGCCTTTTCCCCCCCGCAAAAGAACGCGTCGCTTACATACCTGCCTTACCGGCTGTCCTCCCCTCCCCCTTCATCCTGAACATCCTTGGATACCCCGAACTCTCTCTTCCAGGGTCTCCTTTTCGACATCCCCGATTTCCCGAGTCAGTCG